ATACTTCTAAATTTATTATAGTGACATAATTCTAAATACCCTATCAAAAACAGAGTGATGGAAACTGAAAAGCAGTTTTTAAATTATGAAAGAAAACATCACCAGGTAATATTAAGATTTTGAAAATAATAATAATGATGATGATGATGATGATGATGATGATGATGATGATGATGATGATATTGTTGGAAGGGACCTTGGAGGTCATCTAGTCCAACCCCCTGCTCAGGCAGGAAACCCTATACCATTTCAGACAAATGGCTGTCCAGTCTCTTCTTAAAAATAAGCTGGATAAAGGTACACATCATTGGCTGGATGTGTAAATAGAGTATACCTGGCTGAAAATGATCAAATTAAAGAAGAAAACAACAAAATAGAAAACCTGGATTACAGTTTTCTGTTTCTGAAAAAGTAGGATATAAATGGGCTTTACCAAATTATTTGGTAGAGAAGAAAAAATTGCTGATACAATATCCATCTAGAATATAGACACAGTTTTAAATTTAAATGCCTTAATTCTCTTGAATATTCAGTGTGGGAAAATGAGTTCTTTTCACAGACAGGGCTTTGAGGTAGATACTAAATAGAGCATATGAAGTTTATGTACAGAGCCACAAAAAATCAATTGTTGCAACTGATGCAAGACTGAAATGCAGTATCCTACTAATTGTGGTTCACATGTATGATCATTAAAACGATTGATCTTGGTTCTGGAAAATTATACAGAAGGAGAGCTTTCTAACAGGAACCAGAGCTATGTCAACTGGCAGCCAAGCCATGCTACGTACTTTATCAAGAAATAAAACAGATTGAAAAGGATCTTTCTGAATACCGAATGGTATTCAGAAAGTGGTTCATGGAAAGAAGTAGAGATTTGATCTAGAAATATAGCATAAGTCCCAGAAGAAACTATAGGTACCACTGGGTAAGAAATTATGCAGACCACAATGAATCCTGTTGAATTTCTTAAAGCAAATTCTAGAGAACACAAAATATGTAGAATTCTTGCCAACCAAAAAATGCAATGGATACAAATTCCATTGGATAAAAACTTTAAAATACTTACATATTCTGTGTTTTGCCTTGGATCGGTTAGAACTGGATGATAGGCTTTATGTACAGCAAAAAGCAGAAGGCTTTCAAAAAAACCCTCAGATAATATCCTTTGTGATTCTGTTGATGCCATGAACTCTGACATTTATTAAGAGGTAATCATGCATTGTTGCTTCCAACTTAATACAAATAAACAAAAAATGTGTAAATATATATCCCCAACTTTCTCATGGATAATTATCCTACCTGTGGAATTTTATAGATATCCAAAACAACTGCTATCAGACGAGAAACAATGGTGTCAAGACCCCCAATAACTGCTATCAGGTTGTGTTGGTGGTCACATATATAGTTGGGAATCAACCTCTCTTCTGATGATAGAAGGAGCATGGTGGCTTGATAAGTCCTCTGGGCATTGTCATAGCTGTCATAGATATGGAAGCCCAAGGTAAAATTGGATAAAATCTGTGGGTTTTCATTGATCTCCTTTACTGCAAATACCAAGGCCAGGATGTGCTGGTAATTCTTAGGTATCAGGCTATAACAGGAGTTGCATTTGATATCAGAAAGATGGCTAACATTTACAGAAAAATATTCTATGTACCATGTATATTCAGTTGTTTGTATTGCTTGTTTCCATGATTGTCAGTGTGATTTGAATATTATTACAACATTGTTATCTTTCCTGAGGCAGCAAGGGAAGAAACCATATTACAATTATAACCACCATCTCCTCATAATCAAAATAAAGCATATTGTGCATAAGCATGGTTAAGATAAGTGATCTGTAGGTAGAGCCTTGGGATCTGGAGAAGTGCTCCCATGAGCAATAGATCTTTACAGCTTGTAGTGATTCCATGTAAAACCATAACATATTTTCATTACAGACAATTTCTTTCAAAATTATGTGGTTTTATTTTTTTAAATGCCTATTTGGTTGCTGGAAAACATATTGCTCTTCAAAGGGGAAGAACACTAGGAAGATTTTGTCATGGCTGTGTGAAGCTTTTATTTCTGCATTAGATACAATGGCACTAAGGGGTATTTATGTGCAGAACATCTTTCTTCTTATCTTCTGAGCATCTGCCTTATTCTTAACTTTCTATAATTTCATTCAATCCCAAGGGAAGATATGAAGAAACTCTTCACTTCAAGGTGTCTTTAGGTAAGAAAACATGAGTAGCCAGGAAGTTCTAAATGGAAGAATAAGCAGCTAAAAAAAAAGACTATTAGCAACTTTGCTGTTTGGCATCAATAAACTCAAAATTATCACCAGAGGACTTGCCTCCAAAAGTTGTGGATGCTCCAACACTGGAAGCTTTTAAGAAGAGATTTGACAACCATTTGCCTGAAATGGTATAGGGTTTCCTGCCTGAGCAGGGGGTTAGACTAGAGGACCTCCAGGTCCCTTCCAACTCTGTTATTCTTTTAAGAAATTCTAAAATATCCAGAAAATTAAGTAGACTTAATTTTATAGATTTCACAGAGGATATCAATAGATTATATTTCTGTATGACAGTACATAACAGCTATGTTCATAGGGAACACTCCTATGACACTGAAGAGAAAATAATGCTTATGCGATACTATTTATAGTAGAAATAGCTGATACATGAATTGTTCAATACAATCAAAAAATGAGTCAATAGAGTCACAAGGTGAGCAGAACAGACAAAATGGGAATCTGTGATGTAACAGAATGAAGTGAGGAAAGGAGAAAACTGAAGAATATTCAGTTACAAGTTACACAAATGTCCTAAAATATGTTCCCTTTAGTGTTTCATTTTTCCCCTCTTCAATATTACTTTAACACTAAAAATATGGTCTGCAGACTGAGTTAAAATAGTCAGATTTGATGAATAAATCTTTTAGTGACACATCTTACATGGGATGGTATTCAGCCCCAGACTTTATTTGGAGCTCTACAGTGGATTCCTCTAAGGACATAAGAAAGCCAAATAAACATATCCAAAAATTTAAATCCTTACAGAATTTCTTCAGTCAATCCCGCAGGAGGTTGTTTTCTGAAGTCTATTGACATTGGGACCAAGCCAGAAAGAGTAGGTACACCACCAAGGATAAGATCTCCTTGCTTATTATATTTATGAAGCAGAGGATGAAGATCATGGATAATGCATTTTACTGTGTGAGCTTTGCCTACCATATCTGGAAAAAAACTCACCAGCAAAATCACTAAAATTAACATCTTCAGTGCAAATACAAATCCTCTTTCAATACACAGATCCATCTATTTTCATCTGTAATACTCTTAGTTTTGTTTGCAGGCTTATATCAGTCAAATCTGTATTTCTCTGGGGACTGAAAAATGCAATTAATCCTAGTAAGAGCAATATACTGTACATTCATTCTCTTTAAGTATAAACTGTAAGGGTTATATTTATAACATCCTTATTTTTGTTTGTAATTTTGATATTGTTCACTGAAATTCAACAGAGATTTGGAGAAGAAGGAAAATTACTTTACATAATTATAGACCAAGTTAATCAGCAATCCATAGTAGCAATTTCTCTATAGGACAATTGAAAAATAACAAGGTTTTGTCATATATGAAGTGACATTGCCTCTAATCATCAAGCAAAAGTATTAGTCAGTTTAATGTTTGAAAGATTAAATCTGACTAATAGTGCCTAAATATTTACATGCAACTGCATAGTTAAATATGCACAGGAGGTCCATTTCTGGATTTTGGCAGAGGATACTAATGTATCTTCAAATGCGGTAGGCTTTGATCTCAAGACTTGGAAAAAAACATGTCCAAAGAGATGAGAATTGAGAGAATCCCATTTCAGTTACTAATTCTCCCTTTTCTAATAGTGATTTTTTAAAAAATAGAATGTATTAACTTGATGCACGGATGGAGTTCCAGCCCTAACACAAGATGAATTGGTTTTGGGTTATTCAGTATGAAAGTGAGGCCTAAGCTCAGGCTGAGACAAATTATCTTCCATGCAGGGCAAATTTAAAAAAAAAGGAGGCAGCCATTTTGAGCAGGAGAATAGAATGAAGGACAAATTGGGGGCCAATCATTTTAACTCTTCCAATCTTCGAACAGCTGCTTTATTGGGCATAACGTGTTCAAATTTCTGGAGTGGATTGTCACATTATCTGACAACCTATATGCATTATTGTGAAAAGATCCTTGGAATGGCATTCATAAGGTAGTCATGTTTATGGCCACTCTCAAAATGTGTTGCTAGAGGACTTTTCTAAGCACTTGAATCTGTAGCAGCCAGCCTGCTGATGGACTAATGGATGAATGGAATTCCAAGATATAAGCAGGAATGAACAGCAGAGGGAGAGGTAACTCTTGGTAACTTGAAGATGACCTAGCCTGTTCCTCCACAATTTACACCTGGAGTCCTTGAGGACACAAATTTAAATTTCAGATAGTTCTTGCTTAATGATTGCCTTGTTTAGTGACCATTTGCAGTTTTAATGGGAATGAAAAAATAATTCTCTGATCACATGTTTGTACAGGTAGTCCTCAACTTATGATTAGTTGCATACTGCAGCGGACCCCTTGAATGTTACTTATGACCTGGTTGCACAGTCATTCACCCTTATGACCAACCACAGGAATACTGCAGTGGGCTCACCCACCTATCTCCTCCCCAATTCCCCCAGGACTATACGCTCAGTGATTCAGCTTGCTTTTATAGATTTTAGTCATATTTATATTATCTTGACTATTTTATTTTACTGTATTATATTCTAGTTGTTGACCAAATTGTTTCTTCTTTCTCTTCTGGTAGTTTCTTCTATTGACTTACCAATATAGATTTTAAAGCAGATTTATATAGTCAGGAAATCCCAAAATGAAAGTATTGTTAATTTATATCGATTGGGTCTAAGAGTTAGTTAATATGCACAACACCGCACAGAAATCAAGATGCGCATTTGATAAAGAAAGAACAGATTGTTTTTAATCACTCTTTTCTTCTCATTAGTTGTTCCTTGTTGTTCAGGTCTGGCCGAAACACAATGATATAACATTTGGGGAAAAAGATGCATCCCAGAAGTCCAGCACCCGAAGCAAAGATAGAAAAGATCTCCACAGCCACTATGTATTTCCCTTTGGAACTTAGGTATGCTGGGACAAAGGACAACCAAACACTGCAAAAGATCAACATGCTGAAGGTGATGAACTTGGCTTCATTGAAAGTGTCAGGTAATTTCCTGGCAAGAAAAGCTGTGATGAAGCTAATAAGAGCCAGGAAACCCATATAGCCAAGGACACAATAAAACATGGTCACAGAACCTTCATTACATTGCAGGATAATTTCTTCAGACACTGAGATCAAATCAACATCTGGGAATGGAGGGTTCATTGATAGCCAAAGAGTACAAATGCCTGCTTGGATCAGGGAACAGGAAATAACAATGGAATTAGTCAATTTTTTCCCCACCCATTTTCTCATTCTGGATCCTGGTTTGGTGGCCATAAAAGCCAGAACTACTGTGATGGTCTTTGCCAAGATAGAAGAAACAGCCATCGAAAAAACCATTCCAAACATTTTTTGTCTGAGAAGACAACTTAATTTTCTTGGTTGGCCAATGAAGAGCAATGCTGAAAGGAAACAGAGCAGCAGAGCGATGAGGAGTGTATAGGTTAGGTCGCGGTTGTTGGCTATGACAATGGGAGTGTTGTGGTACCTCATAAATGCTCCAAGTACAAGAACAGTGGATAAAGAAAAAGAAAGAGCAATACAAGCTAAACTGATCCCTAAAGGTTCTTCATAAGTCAAGAAATTAATAGTTTTGGGAATACAAAAATCATGTTTTTTGTTTGGATAGTATTTGTCTTTGCATCTAGTACATTCATTTTTGTCTGAAAAAAAAGAAAAGAAATAAGATAGAATTCTTACTAATATTCTGTATAATTGTCCAGCATGACATTGTAATATATAGAACAATTTGAGGTTTTAAAAGTGTCTGGTAACTCTCCAGAGACCGATGACCCAAATTTTGTTTTCTGCATTTAATAATGTTTGATATGTTATTATTTTTTTATTTTTTTAATTTTATTATTAAAATCCATATGTGGGTTTCCATCTCTAGGGATGGAAAGGACAAATAATAGTAAAGCATTGTAATAACAAATCTGTTGCTTTTAGTTTTGAGTGTATTAGTACACAGTATATGTATCCAACAGGTAGTCCTTGACTTACAACTATTCATTTAGCAATTGTTCAAAGTTACAACAGCTCTGAAAAAAGTGACTTCTGATCAGTCCTCAAATGTACAAAAGTTGCAGCATTTTAAATTTATTTAAAATATAATATTAATTGGGTGGACTGATTCAGAAAAATGTGGTTCTGAGCAAATAAACATTTCATTCCATCCATAATATTTATTGACATTACAGAACTCTCAGCAATTGAGTTTCACCTCAGAACCCAGTTCAGCTAAATATAGTGGAGTTCTCTTTACTAGTTTATTAGAAGTTTGTTTATTAATTACTGTTCTACGATAGCTAAGGAATGTGCAGATGGCCAGGGTATTAATCTTCCCCAGACCCTGTAGATGTGAGTAATGAAACAATATTAAAAATACGTGGTTTTGCAGTTATTTCATAATTTTCCAGATGGTTAAATTCAATAGAAAAATGTTCTTTGTTTGGTTTTAAAAAATAATCAGGAAACAGTGTTTATTTTTTAATTAACAAACTGCTTGAATACTGCACTGTCTAAAGCAACAATTATCAGCTTTGGAAATGTTTTCTCAAAATATCAGAGCCTCCTATTACTTGAATAACTCAAAATGAAGTAAAGGTTGTTTAGATGGGAGCAGATAAATGTTTTCATACCTTTCTCAGTTGAAATTCTCCCTTTTGGGCATGGAATGCAATCATAGCAACAAAACAGCTCCCCTTCCTTCACCTGCTTGCTGAAACCAGGATTACAACTCTCACTGCAGACAGAAATAGGTTGGACCTAGGAATAAAGGAAAATATGGAGAAGAAATCAAAAGATTTTTTTATCCAAAGAGCAAATCTTTTCTTATTTCCAAATGTGCTTAATTCCAAATTTTGTAGTCTAAAGACAATTATATTCTGGAGTAGGTATATTGAAGCTTTTTGACCCAATGGGCACATACATATGAAAATATGAGAATTTGTCATAGGCACCTTCTGAGTTTAGTAATAGATATAATAACTTGAAACTCATTTTTCAACTAGAATGGTAATAATACGAGGGCAGTTCAGAAATAAACCTCCATTTGATTATCAATGACAGATACTCGCAGATACAGAACTTTTTATTATGCACATTAGAAAACTACAACATTACATTACTTTTTGACATAATCACCATTCAAATTGAGGCACTTGTCGTAACTTCCTACAAGGTTTGAAATTACTTAGTACTGGTCACTGGGTGCCAAATCTGGGTGGGGGGTGTGTGATCAAAAACATCCCAATGGAACTGCTTCAAAAGTTCTTGGGTGTGTCTAGCGGTGTACGGATGAGCATTATCGTGAACTAACACCACATCGGAAATCAGCATGCCCCAATGCTTGTTATGGATGGCTCATCTGAGTTTTTGTAACGTTTCACAGTAGACATCTGAATTGATAGTCAAACCATGCTCCATGAACTTTACGAGCAGTACTCCTTTGGCATCTTCACATTTGGTGAGATTTTCTATGGCACCACTTCTGGTGTGGTGTTGGTCCATGATAATGCCCGCCCGTACACCGCTAGACACACCTAAGAACTTTTAAAGCAGTTCCGTTAGGATGTTTTTGATCACCCCCCCAGCCCAGATTTGGTGCCAAGCGACTACTACTACTACTACTACTACTACTACTGTAGTTTTCTAATGTATATAATAAAAGTTCTGTATCTGCGAGTGTCTGCCATTGATAACCAAATGGAGGTTGATTTCCAAATTGTCCTTGTATAAAGCTCAGTCAAATCTCATTGTTTTTAAATTAAATACATTGAATCTAATAGCACTTCCAATTAGTAGCTTTATCTATTAATAATGTCCACCTATTAGTATTGGAAAAAAACCCTGAAAGCACTGCTTAAAAATCAGAATAACTAAGGATGGGTATAACCTTAATCCACGGTGGCCTGGGGCTGAGCCAGATTGCATCAAGAGGACATGACGGCTCACTATTTCTCCCCAAATACTGTTAAAGAGTCATCTTTAGGCCACAGTTAATTGGGCCTGATGATGAGCTCTAAAATTGCTTATGAGGGAATAACTTGATGTATGAATTTACTAATGTCCAATATAAAACAATGATATCAGATTAGAGAAATTAGTGCTAGTTCAGATTCAGGAATAATAATTAAATTTTACCTGGTTAAAACAGCTGTGCCATGTAATCATCTCATCACTGATGGTTAATATTTTATCTGGGGGAGCTGAATGATCCACACTTCCAACTTTCACATGAAGAAAAGATTTGTTTGGGAAAGCAATCAAGTTGAGAATATCAAATCCAATTGCCAAAATTCCATTCTGGTCAAATAAAATCTGTTCCCCAGCACTATTGTTAAAAGCAACACTTCTCAGAAAGTAGTGGAGCTAAATTTTTTAAAAAAGCACAAGATATTGGAAAGACTAATTTGCCAATCTCCTTGTTGGTAATTTACAAAACAGAAAAATACACATTTGAATTGCCTTCTAGGCACTTTCATTTTTGTTATATCTACACTACAAAAACTCTTGTATTTGTTCATTTGTAACCTTCAACTGAGCAAAATTTGATAGTATAGGGCAACAATTATTGAACCAAGGTAGCTCAAATGGATTAACTTACAGAATGGTGCAACCCTTGACTCTTTGGGAATACTAGTGAAGTAGGGCTGGCTGGGAGGCACCAAGGGTTACTAGGTGAGTCTTCTTTCTCCCTAGGGAAAGGGGTCTCTGGAGATATACTCAACTGGGAAGGGAGATGTAGTTTTCCTCATGAGTTGTAGCTTCCTTGGTTCCCCTCTCCCCTAGCAAAATGGCAGGCAGTTCCATGGATCAGCTGAGGAGGGGGAGGAGGAGAAATATTCACTGGGGATGTTTTGAAGGTTGGGAGGGAGAAAATGACACAAGGCTATATAGTATGTGGAAAAAGAATGACCCAATAGACCATGGGTTGTCCAGTGAAATTAAAGAGAACGTGTGACATGAGTCAAAGGATTAGTAGATGAAACCAAAATATTGTTGGTTCAAAAAAAAGATAAATAGAATGAATGTGCACCTTTTCTCTGATAGTTTGAATCATACTTCCAAAAAATGATTGGACATTTTCTGACTTTTGGAGTCAGACAATCATACAACCATATATGGACAGATATATTTCCACGGGGGATTCAGGAGGAAAGGAAGTAAAGCTGTAGATACAATATAACATAATTATAGAGTTGGAAGGGACCTTGGAGGTCTTCTAGTCCAATCCCCTGCTCAGGCAGGAAACCCAATAATATTTCAGACAAATGGTTGACCAATCTCTTCTTATTACTTTCAGTGTTGGAGTACCTACAGCTTCTGAAGACAAGCTGTTCCACTGGTTAATTGTTCTCACTGACAGGAAATTTCTCCTTAGTTCTAGGTTAGTTTCCTCCTTGATTAGCTTCCACCCATTGCTTCTTGTCCTGCCTTCAGGTGCTTTGGAGAATAGATTGGTCTACTCTTCTTTCTGGCAGCCCCTTAGATATTAGAACACTGTTATCTTCTTACCCCTAGTCCTTCTTTTCACTAAATGATATACAATGCACGTACATATACAAAATATTCAAATACTTTGGCCACCTAATGAGAAGGAAGGACTCACTGGAGAAGAGCCTAATGCTGGGAAAGATTGAGGGCAATAGAAGAAGGGGACGACAGAGAATGAGGTGGCTGGATGGAGTCACTGAAGCAGTAGGCATGAGCTTAAATGGACCCCAGAAGATGGTAGAGGACAGGAAGGCCTGGAGGAACATTGTCCATGAGGTCGCGATGGGTCGGACATGACTAACAACAACATACAAAATATATGTACATTATGATATATTAAGGGAATGGAGTCACAAAGAATGAAAAATAGATCTATTACCTGCCAGACATCTTGATTATGAATTTTCCTTCCTATTCTATTCATCACTGACCTGTCAGCATTTCTAGAAGAAAACAGAGCATGTAAAGCATTAGCTATGGCATAAATAGCATTGTAAACACTGTAGCTGTGGCCAGTCATGTCCATTTCAAAAAAGGTTCCAGGAAGACTCTCCAAATTTTCTTTTCCATTGCAAATTTTCTCATGCTCGTAACTCAAAATTGTATGTGGGAATACACAGTCAAAGGCTTCTTGCCAGAACTGTTTGATAAATCCATCTTCCTTTGCGCTGAAGGGGTTTTGTATCTCAGCAAATGATTTGAACTCTGGTAGAGCAGGGGAATGAACTGTGAAGGAAAGGGCACCATCAATTATTTTGATACTCCAAGCACGTTGAAAAGGGATTATATTGAATTCCATCTGTGCAGTCATTATGCACACAATACCTTTTGGTTTACTTCTCACCTCCTCTATATTTGGAATATATTGTAGCCATAGAAAATAGCCCATAGTAAAGGATTCTCCATTGAATACCAATACATTAGCTTTACCACCCATGACATAATCATAGACTTTTGCCCCCTGTTGAAGCATGCCATCAAGTCTATTGAAATCAGTTAATTTGTGAAATCGTTGAACGAAAGAAACACAAACCCCTTTTTTGGAAAAAAGAGGAATCACTGTTTCTATAAATTTTTCTCCCAGCTCATTATCCATAATAAGGATTCCAATCCATGTCCAATTAAAATGTAGGAGCAGAGAGACAATCCCGTTTTGCTGAAGGGGTTCTGGCGGAACCATCTGATAAAATGAAAGGCCTGGGGTTTTATCATTCATTATTGGAGCAGAGCCACAAATAAGCTAGAGAGGAACAGGAAAAGAAGATAAGAGCAGCATCTAGATAACATTTTCAAGTCTTCATAGTGATCAACATGTAGTAATTCATCATTTTATCCTAACCTTTAAGAGAGCTTTGCCTGCCTTGCTGAGATGAGAATTCCATGAATTTCTATCCCTGGATTTTGTAGTTCTAGAAGGCATAACAACAAGAAAGGTATTGGAGGTCTGTTGAATTAAATTTCAGTGTTGCTATGGATGAGGAGTAATTTCTAATAGAATATTATGGAACCTGACCTCATCTAAAACCAAGCAGTATATTCATAAGGTATGGGTAATTGGTGCTTCATATTTTCAAAACAAAAGCATTTTTATTTTCCAGACAAAAGTAAATTTGTCCTCATGTACAGATATATCTAGTGATGTCTAGATGCATAGACGAACATCCTGAATTTTATATTGATATACATTTTTAAATTGTTCAATTTATGCTTTTGTTGAAGGTGAAACGAAAATTAGTTCAGAGATACTTATGACCCATTTAGATTTGCAGTGGTCAATGAGTTTTTCTTGCAACATCTTTTGTTTCATAAGAACAAAGTGTAGATATGATTTTTTTTTTAATTCCCAGAGATGGCTTTTTGAAGTCTTGTATCGGGTTGTACTAAGTTTATTTCTAGATAAACTCTTGAGACTGCATTAGCATTGGAAGCAACTGGATACTTGGATTATATTCTGAAATTCACCATGTCAAATGAAACCTTTTTAATGCTGAAAGAGATTCAAAGCTGACTTGGAGAGCTAGTGTGCCTTTTAGTTTTTCAGTTTCTCTGAATTATTGCAGCTTTCCTTCAATACTTCTGAGCAGTTCTCCTCGTCTCCTCTAAAATCTGATTGGTGTTTTCTTGTGAGATGGTTTGTTTTTCCAGTTTATATCCTCCCCCCCCTCATCTCTTTTTGTTGACTTGTAGTATAGGTTTACTGATTCAACTCGTTGTCTCCTTTTTATTCCTTTTCCATTCTTTGTACTCAAACAATAATGCTGTTTACCTTCTGCTATTTGTCTCTTCCTTTATAATGAGTTCTTGCTATTAATGCCCATTACTTATTAGCATACCCTACTATCTATGTAATTGGAATAAACATTGTAAAACTAATAAAAATAACTGGGTTTTATTCCCAGAATTGTCTGTTCTTCCAACTAGCTTTTTAATAAGTGGGTTAAAACATTAAATTTCTTAAAAATAAGAGCTTACTTTTTAAAGAATTCCTCAAAGGTTTTTGCAAACTAAATGGATTATTTCTGACTATTGGACTCTAGAAATTTCAGGGGAATATCTTTTCACCCATTCTGCCTCAATATACTTAACATTTCAATATGAAGTTGCCTTGTGAAACTGAAAATAGCATGAAATTTACATTGAAATGATGTCTTACCTGTGGAATCTTATAGATATCCAAGATAGTTGCCACAGGAAAAGAGATTTGGGCATCCACTCCTCCAAAAAGAGCTATCAGATTACTCTGGATGTTACATAGATAGTTGGGAACCAGTCTCTCAGTTGCTGATAGAAGTAGCATGGTGGCCTGATAGGTACTTCTAGCATTGTTGTAGCTATCATAAATATTGAAGCCCAAGGTGAGATTGGGTAGGATTTGTGGGTTTTCATTGATTTCCTTTACTGCAAATGCCAAAGCCAGGATGTGCTGGTAATTCTTAGGAATGCCACTACAATGAGATTTGGACATCAGAAGGATATTCTACCATTCTTACATTCTACCAATAGTTATATATAAGGGGAATTCAGTAAGTTAGTTTCACCAACTTGTCCCTTATATCTGCCGCTCTAAGTGATCTCCCTTCTGTATATGAATTAATAAGAACATATTTACAATTAAATATTCTTCAGTAATATTCATTATCAGACAACTTTGAAGGACAATTGTGCAAAGAATTTTAAACACAGAGTACAAACAAGAAAAACGTAAAAGAGCTTTAAATCAGTCCTCTTCAAGCTGTGCGTATGTCACCAAGGGGTCCTCCCCAATCAGCACAGCAATAGTGGAGAATTGCAAACTTGGAAGCCCACTCAGGTGGCAATGCTCTGATTTGGTAAGCATGCTTTAAATATAGAATATCACCACATAGATGGGCTTCCCCATTCCCCATAAGTCCACACATAATGTTCTCTGATTGAGAAAATAATGCTTTTCTTAGCATTTACTTATATTGACCCCCATCAATCATCTATTATTCTTTGATGGATTATTTCAGCAATCAGAAATATCTGAAAATATAAACCAATAATAATAATAATTCCATTCCTTACACATGTTGTTCAGTTAATATTGGAGGGGGGTGTTCTTCAAAAGTAACTTCATCCGAGACCGGAGCAATTTGAGAAGGAATGCCTCCCACCATAAGATCTCCTTGCTGATGATACTTGTGATATGGAGGATATGGATGAAGGATGCTGCACCTGTGAGTTTTGCATCCCACATGAGGGAGCAGCACTAGCAGCCAGACCAGTAAAGCTGCCATCCCTATTAGAAGGACAGATTTCAAAGATGCTCTTTTTTTCTTACATCATGACCATTAGCATTTTTGTGATTAACATTTTATAATATGAGCGGTAGTTTGTCTAGGATTGGGCTTGGGGATCCTTACTTATCCCTAAGCCTACCATGTTTCTCTCTAGCTCTAAATTGTATTGATATTTTAAGAGAAAGAGAAGTAACATCCTACATTAACCTTTTTTATTAATCTTTCTAACGAACACTGAAATTCAGTGAGACTGAGAAAAAGAAGAATTAAAAATAGTAATTTACATGCACAAACAAGAAGATGATTATTAAATTGGAGTTCAGTTTTCCCTAGGGAAGTCCTGCAGAAATCATGTGGGGGTTTTTTTCTCTCCTATTCTTATAGGAACTAGGATTTTTTTTTGTAAGAATCATGAATGGGGAATATGCGAGGGATTGAAAGCTATGTTCAGATTCTGGGAACAATTTGATGGTGATAGTGGGCAAAAAAATAATGCCCAGAGATGTGCTTGAGGTGTTCATGGGTTTGTTTGAGATGATATTCTGAAACTGACTGGCTGATAATATGAGCTAACCTTGGAATATTAAAGAAGCAAATGATTTATTGTAGTATAAATAGGAATCATTATGTCTTAAACAGGAATAAATGGAATGAGACTTTAAATTATTTAGTAAAAATCAATGCTTAATTTCTTTAAAAGTGAAAAGAATATAAAATGGAATAGCTATTTTATAACTTTGCATTTTAGATATTCAAAATGAAAAAAGCAAAAAACAAAAAAACAAAAAACAAAACCCCACTTACTTCAATTGAACAGAAACATTTAATAATATCTATTTATTTAGTTCTCTGACAAAGGAAATTTCTTGCTAATACAGTTTAGGAGAAATAATCTGCAGAAAATGTCTATAATGCTATCAGAATGGATTTTAAAAAGCTCAGAAGGAATCTCAAGTCTCTGGGCACTTAGTATTTTTATGAAAGCAGAGAGAATAAGGAAATCCCTGATCCTGGTCTCTCCAAGTTGATATAGTTCTTTTATTGTATCCTCACCTAAACCTAAAAGTCTTCTTCTAGAGACCTTTGAAATTGAAGTGCCATCACTTTCTCCCTAACTTTTCAAAGAAAAGAAATGTTGGTGATAGATCTGTAGTTATCCAAAATAGTCAGATCAGATGAAGGCCTCTCGATCATAGGGCATATTACAGCTCATTTTGAGGTAATAGAAATATTCTGTCAGTCAGAGATTGATAATGTTCAGATTCAATCTCCTACTACTTCATTTGAAACCTTAATCAAGCATAAGCATAATCCAACTGAAAAGCACTACAGCTAATTTTGGTCATGGTGCTCACCCTCTAGACTTCCATTCCTATTAAGATTGGTACCAATACTGCCAGCCTTTAATAAAGCATGGGCAATCTACATGTGTTCCAAGGCATAGCAGTCAGGAGTCTAGATGGTCCATGAGATGTCATTGTTTTGTTATGTGTTTTTTGAGTTTGTTTCAGGGAACTATCATAGCTTTCAATGCTTTGTTGATATTGCTCTATTTATTTAATGTGTTATTGGCTGCCTAGAGTTGCATCTATGAGCTGGGTGGAGAAATGAATCAGTTCAATTAAACAGTATATAAACAAATTTTTTGAAGAAGTTGCTATCCATTTCCTTGGAACTTGAAGACTTAAAATGTTCTAAATTCATTTTATTAGATGAGACCCCAATCTTCTCTATTGGTGCTGTCCATCTGAAGTTCAGATTTTTACAAATCTGAATGGTTTTTGTCCAGTGGTGGAATTCAGCCAGTTTGCACCGGTTTGGTAGAATCGGTAGCTAATTTTTTGTTGACTTTGGTGAACAGGCTGATGCCTAGCTCTTTTTTGCAAGGCCCAGAATGGCTCACTGGAAGTGAGCCACTTCTGGAAGTCCGTTCTGAGCCAGGGAGGCCTCCCAGGCCCACTGGAAGTACATGGACGCATCCCAGGCCCAGAAGGGCCCACTGAATATGCATGGACACTACTTCAGGAAGTCTGTTCTGACCTGGGGAGGTGTCCCAGGCCCAGAATGGTCCACTGGAAGTGTGTGGACACCAGGTCACCACGTTCATGTATTTAAATCCCACCACTGTCTCAAGGGAATGAATCACATTAAGAAAGACAGATGGATGGCATTCAGTCAATGCAATAAGAGTGCAAAATATTTCTTTTTGGTAGTGTAATTACCACTGTGTATTCATATATGTACTTATACTTGTACAAGTCTTCACTGGTTGCTTTATCTAGACTGCTTTATCTCCCTGGCCTCTTGAATAAACCAAAGGGTTGCAGTGAATTAGAGAGGCCACTCTGATTTAATCTATTTAGGCATTCTGTCTCTTTATTCCAGGTGGTGACCAGAGTCTTGAATGAACTGCCCACTAGAGGTGCAGGAATGGACTCTTTAATAGATCCTTTCCCACCAGGGAGAGGGGTCATATCTCAACACTCTATGGCAGTCAGATCTGCATGTCAATGGGTAAAGTTCATTACCATGATCTAAAGATAAACTAGATGTTGTGCGTGTCCTCTGATATGTATAGGTGTCCTGTGCCAGTCCACACCTATGGGGAGCTTTAAAGACTTCATTGAGAACCACAAGCCCCTGTTAGTATTTCCTCGGCCCCACTCACACCAACTGCAAAGTTCTACTGAGTCCAAATCTGCTCAACATAGGCACAGATTTACAAAGTCCATAGGCAAAGGCACAAGTCCACAAGTCTACACATGCATAGTCCAAAGTCCAGGCACAGATCATAGTCCATACATGGTAAATCCAAGCCAAGTACAGGTCCAAAGTCCAAGAAGCAGGTCCAAAGTCCAAACATGAGGTCACACAAAGCATGGTTCAAAGCCAGGAGAACCAGAGTCATGGAGTTGGAGCACACCCGTGGCAGAGAAAATGGGCAGTTGTTTCTAACATTGTGTTGTTCCATGTGTTGGATAAAGTAGGCATGCACTGGTGAAACTCATTAGGAGGGCCAAGACTACCCTTGCTGACCTCCATTGAGCCACCCTCCATTCAACTCTACATCCTGAGATCCAGTGAAGGAGCCAGTTCTTTCTCAGCCCTATTGATGGCTTGCAGCTGTGATTCTTCACCATGAGCTTCTAGCCAAATCCTCCAACTGCAGCTACATATTTCCCCTTTCCTCTCCAGCCAGACTCTCATCCAATTGTTCCCCTGAGGGCTCCTTCGAAACTTCGAGCCTCACTTCTTCCTCTATCCCTTTCACTTCTGTCTTGGAGGCCTTGGTATCTTCCTGATGCTCCTCCTTGCCTCCCTCTGATGTCAGCCCTTACTTGTCCTCCAAGCATCCAGGAAAGCCATCACAATAGAGCCCTTGATTAGTTGTGTAAGTCTGTGGTTGGCTGTGATAATAGAATCCTGGACCAATCAGAATCATTAACAAGGGAAAAGTGTGATGAACTCCTTCAACATAACAGTGATTGGATTGGGCAGTGTGGTAATATATCATTTAGAGCTGGAGCAGGGAAACTTGTGGCTTCTTTTGGGGCCCTTAGACAATGTCCTCAATTTTATGAGTTCCATAGGGACATATTTTTTTGTTCTTTGTATTTTAGATAAGCAGCTTAGCTATCCTATCTCCTCTTAGGACATTGGCATAGCTAATACAAAATGTTTCAATTTCTTTACCTGTTAACCCTTTGGTGGTCATGGTTCATGCTGATTTTGACTTCTATCTAGTATATTGTTGATTCCACAAGCTATGGTGAAATTTCTCATGGGTGGAAGGGGTCACACTGCTTGGCAATCAATTATAGACTGGTGTCTTGTGTTAATTTTTGTTTCCTGGCCTTACTTATTTTTTGGGTGATTTCCATGATTATGACCAAAGTTGGCATTCTGTCTTGAAGAGAATACCCTTCCTAAGCTCCAGGTTCAGACATTTTCATTTTCTTTTCAGTCTGGACTTCAAAAGAAGAATAGCCATGATGGGCTTGGGAAGAGCCAAGAACATGATAAAAACTTTTCATCCCACTCCACTCCTTGCTGTCCTAGTCTTTATTGAATAATGTCCTTGGGGTATGTTGGGTTACACTTCAAATTAAGGAGGATATTTGAAGATAGGGTAAAGCTGACAAAAGGAATTTTATTCATTAATTTTGTATAGAATAAATTTATTAAGGGTGCCTAAAAACAAATAGTTTGCCACCTATTATAGTGTAATACTATACAAACCAGCAAATGTGTGGAAAACTCTTAAAAATATCACTGGTTACAGCAAACCTCCTTTCCATGCTGAAGGGAATCAACAACTGGCAGATGACCTGAATGTGTTTTACTGTAGGTTTGAGAGGAAACCAATCACCACCATCTCCACCTCAGACACACCAAAAACAGCCAAGCCTCCTATAACCCCCATCCCTTCCACCCCACCTCTGGTGATCACAGAAAATGATGTTCAAGTCTATTTCACAGGCAAAAGCCTGGAAAAGCACCAGACCCAGACAAGGTAATTCCTTCTTGCTTCAAAGCTTGTGCTGCCAAACCCATCTTCACCCACATCTTTAATAATTCACTAGAGATATATTATGTTCCTTCTTGCTTCATATGCTCTACTATCATCCCAGTGCCAAAGAAACCCTCCATCAAGGAGCTGAACGACTACAGACTGGTTGCTCTGACATCTGTAATTATGAAAACCTTTTAAAGGTTAGTGCTGGCCCACCTGGAAATCATCACAGATCTGCTGTTAGACCCCTTGCAATTTGCCTACAGAGGAAATAGATTGGCAGATGGTGCTGTTAATATGGCTTTGCACTACTTCCTACAACATCTTGAATTTCCAAGGACATATACAAGGGTCCTTTTTGTAGACTTCAGCTCAGCATTCAATACCACCATTCCAGATATTCTTCTAACTGAACTGATTCAGCTAGCCGTGCCTGACCATACTTGTAAATGGATCATAAGCTTTCTAATAGACAGGAAGCAGC